GGGAGTCCGTGCTCTGCCCCTGCCTTTGTTTCCAGCTACCCAGAGTGAAAACCCAAAATGGGTCTTTCGGACTAACCGAGCCTGGCGGGTGGAAGATTTGAAGCTCCGTAATCCACACTGACCCACTTCCAGCATTTAATAATAACTATTACATGGCAGACCCTGCAGCTTTTATTTTTGGCTCTGCGGTTTGTTTTTGCCATTCAGTGGTTGGCAGCGCCGTGCTCTGCCCGTGGGGCCATCCCAGGACAGGGCCCTCGGTGGCACTATCCCGGTGTGACGGGGAGACAACAGCGGCAGTCCCTTTATACCCCTGGGATGGGTATAAACAGGAGTCTGCTGTGACACTTTCACAGCAAATGCTTTATGTTTTCACCAGAGGCTTCTGGCTGGTTTTAGTAGTCATGTGGATGAGGAAGGCATCCTGGGAGAAAGTTGCGTCCGGCCATTGCTGGGTATTGAAAGAGGGAATGGGTAGAAAACCAGCAAGACAAAAAAGCAGGAAGAAGGCAATAGCTTAAGGGAGTTTGATAGATTTGGGAAAATTAAATTGTTTGAATTAAGGAGGAAAAGGATAAATTCATCTGTAGTGAAGTGACAACAATTACCTTAATAGAGTGAGATCGCGTAGCTTAATGAGCATGCAGAGTCCATTTTTGGTGTACAGGCCTCCACTGTTGAAGGCAAAGTTACATGAACACTGCAACAGCCAGTCCCAGTCATCTTCTCTTTCTAGGCTGTGCTGTCACCGTGGCTGTACTTTGTCACACATTGTCACACATTGTACCTAGGGGCAACGTCAGGAGGGGCACCCCAGCATGGTCTTCTGCATGGGCAGAGTAAGGTTTGGCTTAGTCATCTCTTGTCTCCTTTCTGTGCAGTGCTTGGCTTGTCCTATCACCGAAATTTTGGGTTTTGCCATGAATGTTCTCCCAAGTGCCATCCGCTGCGCTCACCAATAGCTCGTCCTAACCTCATTTGCTGACCCTTTCCCTTGTTCTCTTTCTCTTTTATGCTTCAGGTTGGAGACTGGCCATGAACATATCTTGCCCATTGACTGTTACTTTCCACCTCAGAAGACTTGCCTGATCTGTGGAGATGAAGCATCTGGGTGCCACTATGGAGCCCTCACTTGTGGTAGCTGCAAAGTCTTCTTCAAACGGGCGGCTGAAGGTAATGCGTACAGGGACAGGAGGGAAAATCACCTCCACCTCCAAGTGTTGGCTTTCTCTACCAAAGTAGCCTAAGAGTCAAGTTCTGCTGACGCAAGTTCTTTCATCAGCAGTCGAGCATTAACGTGTAAGTGCTGGAGGCATTTGCAGCATCATGGTATGTTCTCCTGTTGAAAGAGGTTAAACAGCCTTGCTTTGGGGAGCTTGCCAAACCAAGAGGACTGAGGCAAGAGTGGTGGGGACAAAGTGTGGTGGGTTTCTAAAGTTTCTTAAAGTAGTAAAGGAGAAAATTCAAGGGTGAATGGATTTCTTTGTTGTACGTTTGTCATTCCACATTACAGATTGCCCTCAAAGAGTAGCCAAACCAGTTTGCCAAAACCAATCCTTTTCAACGCCTGATTATCTTACTGAGCTAGTGAGACCCTGGAAGAGTCAGTTCCTGCTTCTCCTCTTGACTCTCAAGGGTGCTTTGAGTTCCCAACAGCCTTCCTGCCATCTCAGACCCACAACTCAAATTTAGGGGATGCTTTTCCTCTCTTGCATCCCTTTCAGAGGGTCATTTCTCTCAGTACCTGTGAAACATCAGAACCGTCTGTGCATTGAGAGCAGTGCTCTGACCTTGGTGTCCATGATCCGTCACCCCAACCCTTGAGAAAGCAACTACTTCACGATCAGCTCTGTAGTGCCAGGCTCTCCAGAGATAAGTGTGAGCCCAGATGTTCCCTCTCAACAGCAAGGTCTTTGCACCATCTTTTCTTGGTAATTGGCATGTAGGAGGACCTAGCCCGGCTGTTTCCTTGGGCTGTGGGTCAGCAATGTCCCGGGAGAGGGAGGCACCGCAGTTCCCAGCTGGCGGCCAGCGACAGGGATGGAGGCTTCTGTCTCTGGCTTGTCTCACCGTGACCTTCCCCTCCTGCGCCTTATGTCACCCTTCTGTCGAGCAGAGGTCCCAAACCGGTGGATGCTCACCTGCCATTGTCAGGGCACTGCTTCTAGATTGATTCTGGCATCACCCTGCGTGCTTTCAGAGTCACCTTTTCCCTCATTCATCATTCGTGCCTGGAGTGTACTTGGCAGCACTGGTTCAGGGAAGAATGGGGCTGTGCCATAGACGACAACAGCATCCTGTTGCCGTAATAGGACAATCAAATAATATTAATAGATAATAAGTTTGGCATATTTTTCCCAAGTAAATTATTTACAGATATGTCTCTGCTGTATACCAACTCTGTGTAAGGACAAATGGATTGGCTTGTGCAGCCAGAGTAAATAACAGATGCTTGTTTAAGTCAACAAGTTATTGTTGATTTATAGTAAGTGGAGTCTTGGCTCTCTCTGTCAGATAAAGCGCTGATGAAATGCCCCGTGTCGGCTGGCGACTCCCAGGGCGGTGCTCCTCCGTTAACACCGGGGCGGGCTCTGTCCTGCGTGGCGTGCGGATGAGGGCTGGGAGATGCCTGCTGGGGGAGAGGAGGCAGCCCGGGCTGCTTGCGCTGCTCTTAATCGTGTGCTCTGGTCTCATTCCCTCTCTTGATTGTGTTATACCATTAATTTAAATGGTGTTTATGCCTGTTCTCAGTTTTTAAGCCTCGAGGTATGGCAGAGGGTTAGAGCTGTTTGGTGGCGTTGGGGTCGGGCAGCAGCAGCCCTTTGCCTTTCCCCTGGACAAGACCGTGGAGCAAAGTGCGTCTGCAGTGAGGAGCAGCAGGGTGGGGGGCACCTGCCTGGGTGTGAGGTTTCATCTTATGTTACTCTGAGGTACACGGATAGAGTATTTTGGGGAATAAACAATAAATCAGACTCCGTTGTAAATACTGAATGCAGGGCAGTGGCAGGTGATGATTTGTATCCTGACTCTTGGTAATTTTCCAGCCAGACCTTTCCTTCTTAAAGTTGAGGAGCAATATTGAAAGCTGATATTTCAGTTTGTTCTCATGTTTTAAAGACCATAAAATACATCTCTGAAAACCTTAGGTCACCTCTGGAGACCTTTTACAACGGCACATCAGAAAGCTTCCCCGATGAAAAAAGAAACCCTTTTCTTTTGCCTATTACCTTCCTGCCACTGGTGCTACCTTCCAGCAGCCTCCAGTGGGTAGGAGAAGCAATGGACTGGGAACTGAAGAGCAGCATGAGCAGATCACCTCGGAGGGAATGGAGACTAGCTAGACATGTAGTTTTTCTTTTATCATATTCTTTGCCGAATTAATACTGATTTGGCAGTAATTCAGGGATATTTAAGAAAGTTTTACAGGCAGCCACTGACTTCTAGGGGATTAGAAAGGGAAAAGATTTAAAAAAAAAAAAGCTGTGACATTGATTCCTCTTCCCTTTTGATACATGCTGAGGGATTTGTGCGGTTCTAGAGCACAAGTCTTATGAGGAGCAGCTGAGGGAACTGGGGATGTTCAGTCTGGAGAAGAGGAGGCTGAGGGGAGCCCTCATTGTGCTCTACAACTACCTGAAAGGGGGTTGTGGTGAGGTGGGTGTCGGTCTCTTCTCCCAAGTAACTAGTGATAGGAAGAGAAGAAACAACCTCAAGTTGCGCCAGGGGAGGTTTAGATTAGATATTAGGAAAAGTTTCTTTACAGAGAGCGTGGTCAAGGATTGGAACAGGCTGCCCAGGGAAGTGGTGTAGTCACCATCTTTGGAAGTGTTCAAAAAACGTGTGGATGTGGCACATCCACATGGTTCAGTGGGCATGGTGGTGTTGGGTTGATGGTTGGACTTGATGTTGAAGGTCTTTTTCAATCTTAATGATTCTGTGATTCTGTGTGGTTCTGTGGTTTCCAGTAGAGCAGATCACTCCTACTTTGATAAAATGTTTGACAGCTTTGGGGTTTTTTTTTGCAAGTCCACCCGGTTCTTCCAGAAAGATGCTGGAACAGTTAATAGAAGAGACATGAATATTTTCCTGATTTCTTTCTGTCAGCTTTGTCGATTTACAGACCATCTCAAGATGTCCAGGTTATATATAGGCCAGCTCTAAAACACACCATGCAGATTCTTCAGCTCTGATGTGGACTTCCTCACTTGCAAGATGGCCAGCCCCATTTTTGTAATCTAACCTGATGTTTGTCTCTCTCTTTCTGTCACCCCGCTCTGGTTTCCCAAGCGCAGAGGGATCCAAGAGGGTTGGGGCTCGCTACCCCGGCAAGAAGTGCTGCTGCTCTTCTGCTGCCAGGCACACTCGCACCTGCAAAGGAGGACGACTCCTCCTTCTAATTCCTCTTTCTCCTACAACAGCAGAGATCTGGTAAACAAAAAGTGCATCCACCTCAGAACAGATTTTGTTCTTTCTCAACACAAGTAGGCAGGGCATCACTTGGCATTATTAGGGTGGCTCAGATGAGTTAAAAGCATTAGGGTGGTCCTCGTGGTACCATGCTTGTCCCTGAAACAGAAGAATACTTCAAACACGACACACTTCCAAATCAGCTGGCAGTCCAGGGGTTCCGGTTGTCCCATCCCATCCCCAACTCCCAAGGAAGGGAGTCAGTTTTGTGTCCCCTGCATCCACCCCTGAAAAATGGTAGACCTTCCTCATCCCTCCAAGGTTGCACAAGAGCTGATGGCCATCTCGGCCAGTTCAGAGCTGCCTCTGCAGTGTTCCTGGCCAGCAGGACCAGGACACCATAGGCTGTATTCTTGATGGGGCTGCCTTCAAATTGCAGAGAGGTAAATGAAAAAAATAACATGGTATTTGACAATTTCCTAGAGGGCTAACAGCCAGACTGCTGTGCAGTCTGTCCCGATTCCCTTTCAGTCACTCTCCATATGGATTATTGTTCTACATCCTGACCTGCTGAGGATTGGCCCTGCACCAGAGGGAAGTGTCTCTGGGCCAACTCGACAGGTTCATGCAAGTTTTCAAGATGACAACAAGTTAAAGTGAACCGTTATCAAAGACCATCGCCATGTTTTAAAATGCGTTCTTCTTCTCGTGGCTGGTCTGACAGTCTGCAAAAGAGCCGCGTCTGCAAAAGGCTTCCGCGGTGCTGCAGCACCGTGATGCTTCTGCTTCAGTGGTGGGTTTCTCACTACCCCTGGGGTATTAGTGGCCTTAAAATTCCATGGGAAGAGCAGAAAGTGGAATAACCAGACCTTTGAGAGCTCAGGCCCTCCTGGCACAGCCTGCTGCCTGTCTCCCATGCTGTCTGCCAGGTGGGATTGCTTTTCTTTCTCCTTGGCACCCACAGACCAGCTCCCCCAGCCCCATGCAGCGCTGGGTGCGAGCAAGCTATCAGTCAGTGCGTAGTCAGACATGACATTGGTTGGAGCCTGAAGCAGACAATTTGACTTCAGACAGGCTCAGGAGTTAAAACATTATGGTTTTGTCTTGTTGCCAGAGAGCCGAGCAACTAAAACATTTTTGCTTGCTGGGTTTAAGCATCTTTAAAATAAAGCCTTTTCAGTTTGCACAGTCCCATAGGTGTTTACTTTGAAAGCTCCTCGTTTAGCCTTGGCTTGCTCGGGGCTTCCTGTTAGGTCGTCTCCCGTACAGAGCTGTTACCTGCCCATGGTGTTCACCAGCATCTGTAACTTCCCTGCTCGTGTCTCTCTGGCGAGCTGTTGTTTTCACTTGCACGCGTCATTTCTGGTTCCCTGCAGAGCTTTCCCCTTGCTCTTCCCGCAGCCAGCCTGCCGTCCCAGCCACCGCAGGCTGCGAAAGCCGCTGCCCCGAAGGACTGGAGCTGGTGCTGGAGCCTGCACTGCGTCACTGGGGCTGGATGCTGTCCTTTTGGTTTCTTTAGTCTTCTGGGAAATACAGGTGACTGACTATTAAGAAAACAACTTTGCAAAGATAGTTTATTATTACAATTCGTACTACTAAGTAGTAGCTTAGTGTTGGATCCCGAGAGCTTCACAGCTGTGTGCCCTCTGACTGTTTCTGATGGGATTATTTCTAAAGTGGGAAGTTCAGAGCGGTCCCAGCACCAAACCTGCAGGCTCAGCTCTTGCCATAGCCCAGCTGGTGACAGTGACAGGTATCAGATTTTTTACAGAAAAGCACTAGAGATCCTGCGGTTACATGTGACCCTGGGGGATTCCCTTTCTCAGAAAGCTTGGCCTTATCCCCCAGCTGTTAGAACTTGCTTTGTGCCCTGAAATACAAGGATATATCTCTCATCCAGAAGGCATTTAATGGGTTTTCACATTCATAATCATAAATCTTGCTCCAGACTTTTGCAGAGGTTGCTTTCTGGAAAGGAAAGCTACAGTAGGCATAACAATTCACGTGGCAACAGGCTTTTAGTTAAGTAGCTTCTCTGGACTGAGCAACTAACCTTTCTCCGTTCCTTGCAGTCCCCGGTGAGGAGCGGGAGGACTCGGTGGTGGCAGAAGCGTCGTTCTGCCTGGTGCGAGGCGGCGCGGGAGGGAGCCCGTGCCGTCGGGGGGGTGCCGGCGAAGGGGGCACTGGCACGGCAGCATGTCCGTGGTGCGTAGCGAAGCGGGGAGCTGCAGCAGCCTGCAAGAGCCTCGCTTGCACAGACTGGTCTCCTGGGGTTCCTGCGCTGGTCTGACGGGGCGGAGGAGTACCGGGTGCCTTTGTAACTTCACTTCTCTCCTACACGCATGCCAGCCAGTCTCTGGGCTGGCAGGGAAGGAGCGGGCTCTCCTCCAGGCGTCCACTTGCGGTGTCATCAGCCGGGTGGTTATACCTGAGGCTAACGCCTTGCCAGCATCCCCTTGTGAAGAGGCTGGGTGGTTGGCTTTGCAAAGAGCAGGACTGCTGGGTAACATAGGAGAGCGTGTTTCAAGATCAGACTTGTACTTACAGGTTTGCAAAGCAAGAGCCTCTGCTTTGGAGTAATGTGAGAAAGTATCCCTGTTGTTTGCAGGGAAGAAAAAGAGAAAAAAAAAATTCCAATGTTAAACTCAATAAAAGAAAAAACAGTGCATTTATCTTTAAATAAAGAACAGCTGATTGTGAGTGTCTCAGCTTGTTCTTAAGTGAAGAGAGTAAATTATCCTGAACTTAAAGTCAAATCTCTGTATAGGAGAAGTTACTTAAGACTTGGAGGCTGGGGCTGGTGGATGTTCCTCCTCTTGGCAGGGGAATTTAGATAGAGCTGTGCCTGACCCTGGAGCGTCCTTGGGGGGCTCAGGCAGTGACTGTGCCGCCTTCCCTTAATAAAGCCGTTTACAGGAGAGGCTTGACCTTTTTAAAGATTTTGAGCTATTATTGTTGCAAAAATGCTGTAGTTTAGACTAGGGAGGCAAGATAGGGAAGGAGCAGGAGCTGATGGGTGAGGGGAGAGCAGGAGGGCTGTGCGGATGCTCCCGGGGCAGCACCGTGCGTGGCAGCCCGACGACCTCGGCCAGAGACCGACTTGGCCCCATGGGCTGGGCGTGAGCCTTCCCGGGAGTCGCAGCCCCAGCTGATTGACAGCTGGATAGACTAGTTTTGATGGACTCTGGAGCATCCCAGTATCAGACATTGTCACGAGACAGGAATCCTGCAGCGCAGCTGGCGGGGAAGGAGAGCAAAATCACCTTGCAGCCCTCCAAGCCCATGCCTGAGAAAGTAGGGCGTCCATTCTTGTTTGATGTATGCGTGTAACGAGGTCAAGTGGAGGGAGTATGGCCTCGGCACTCGGTTCCATCGGCACAAAAATAACTCCAAGTAACCCAGTTTCAGCTGAAGTTGTTTATTATTCATCCTCCTGAATGAACTGTTGAAAGGGAGGATGGTGCTTGTGTTCTCTGGGATTTGGGTAATCGCTGCTGCTGAGGCTTGTCTAAGTGTCCTTAATGCTTGGTAATGAGCAAGGGGGAGGGGATAAGAAGAGGTGCTGATGAGAATGGTGTTAAAAGGATTTAGCGAGGAACCCAGCTGCAGGTGATGCACTCTTGCCCCATTATGTCTCCAGTCTTACCAGTTAAGGCACTAGGGGTGGTGTAATGACCAGCTTTTAATGGGACAATTCTAGAAAGTTCAAAAGGATGGTAGTTTTGCAGCCCTTCGGCACAGCCCTGTGCACATGCAGTGTGAGAAGGAGTTGGGTGTACGCTGAGCCTTATTGTGACTTTCCTGCGACCCTGTGGTGAGAGGCTGCAGGTGGGGTTTGGCCCCTGGCGAAGCCGCAGCCGCGCGCTGCTGGGGCGCAGCGGGGGGACCCTCTGTGGGCGCAGGAAGCAAAGCTGCTCTCTGGAGCCGGGAGGGCGATGGAGAAGTGACAGACGGTGCCAGTGAGGTCTGTGATGCTGAGTTGCTAAAAATTTGCTGCTTTTTCTGATTCTGATATCTTCAGAAATTGTGGATGGCGGGGGGGGAGGTGGGGAGTTGTTAAATCAGTGCACCAAAATTGGTGCATCTCTTGCCAAAACCGGCATGTTATGAGGTTAGAGTCAACCTTGTCTTTTTAATGGATCTCTGGTGACTCCAAAGGGCTATTCCTATAAGAATATAAAAAGCAAACATCTGCAGGGTGATAAATAAAGGTTAAGCTGCATATAGACTGATTCCCATGTAGGCTGCTTATGCAGAGTCTGTGAGGTGCACAGCTCTATTATTTACTGGGACTGATGTAGTTTGGAACGGTATGAAGAACTTCAGATAAATCCTGATTCAGTGTTTAGACCTGACAAGAAAAGAAATGACGAGTCAGGAAGGAAGGTTCATTCTTGTCATGTCTAACAAATGAGGCAGTAAAAAAAAAAAAGCTGAAATCTGGAGCTCTAAGGGCTGCTCTCTCAGCAAGTGGAAAGGTGAGTCTAAGGTACCGGTTCGTCTGACAGTAACTTACTTCTGAATTTTCTGCAAGCCTCCCTAAGCCTGCTGCTGCGCAGGGTCTCCCTTACAGGGAATCGCTGGTCCCAGTTTCCTCCTGGCTGGCTGTGAGTGCAGCCCAGGGGACAGGGTGACGGGTGCCAGCCTGCCATGAGACCCATGGCAGCAGAGCCTGTGGGGCAGCAGCTCCCCATGCAAAATCGGTTCTTCAACCCCAATGTCTGTAACCCACAGACAACAAATGCAAAAAAATAATTCAGCCCCAAAAGGCACTGTAAGGAGAGCCGTGGTTGTAGAGGGAAGGCCACTGTCTGGGGACTGTGTTCGGCAAACTGTAGGTGAGTGCCGGGGCAGGAGGATCAGACTGTGTTTTGAAAGCGTTCTGGGAGAAAAGCAGCTCGTTCCAGCAAGAAGCCAAGCCGCAGACATATGGCATTTAAAGTATGAGAACCAAACTATGCATATTTCATTACTTCTTAATTGCTGTTTATTGAGTACCTCTGCACAGAGCAGAGTGATTTTTCTCCTTGGAGCTCCGGGTCTGGGAGCCTCTGCTGCGTGCCTGCCGGGAGGTGCGGTGCCGCCGTCAGAGGAGGGGTGCTCTGCTCTGATCGGTACCCACCACCCATCCTCTCTTCCCTCTGATGTTTGTAGGTAAACAGAAATACCTCTGTGCCAGCCGGAATGACTGCACCATCGACAAATTCAGAAGGAAAAACTGCCCGTCCTGTCGCCTGCGGAAGTGCTACGAAGCTGGGATGACTCTCGGAGGTACTGTCTGAGTAACGTCCCCAGGTCCCTGCAGCGGCTGGGGCAGCCGGGCTAGTCCTGCAGATAACAAATGTACTTGGCATACTAATAGTAAATGGATGAAAAAATGAGGCTGATGGAGAGTAAGGAGCTTCAGAAAGCATTTGCAAGTTTCTAATACCAAAACGATGAATTTCATTAAATTTTTGTTTGAGTTTCAGGAAACAATGTTTTCCTTAATTTAAAACCTTGTTAATCTGAAAAAATGTAAACGGCTGGGTAAGCTGGATTCTAACTCACACCAAAGCCTCTTTCGACAGAGCACTCCCATTTTAAGATGATTTTTCCCGGGCAGAAAGAGACATTTTTCTCTATAAAATTACACCCCTGGTATTTTTCTTCGCTGAATGGATGTTGCTTCTGTATCACTGGTAAAGATCCTTGTCTATGTTCCAAAACCTGTAGCTCTACTAAAACCTGACAGAGTGCCCGTATCCAAAATCTGAGATTTTCTGCTCAAAATCTAGAAGCTACAGTGTAGATCACTGGGTGGCTCATCTTTGAGTTCATTTGATGTGAGAGTGAGGAAGAAAATACCCTGAAAAACAGGGCTGAGGAACCTGACCCACGATGAAAAGGTCCCCGACAGCGAAGCGGAGGGAGTCACGGGTGACACAGAAAGGAGAGTCCCGGGCAGCGTCAGCACAGCGCAGCGGGGAGCAGGGCAGCCCTGGCTAGTTAGACTTGCCAACAGTTTCCTTTAGATACTTCCACCATTGCTGGGATGGGCAGTGCCTCCTGGAGCCGCTGGACTGCTGGAGTGTTGTCTGAAGAACTTGCTACCGAAAAGGTTCTGGTTTATTGCTCATCCAGGAGCAGCGGTTTTCATTTTATTTCCCTCCAGAACAGTTCTTCCAGCTCAGGTACCGACAAACATGCCCGGTCAGCAGGGCAGGAGCCCGCCTGCTCCCTTCCGCTTCTGCAGCAGCGGGTGGTAAATCTGAGTGTGGCGGGGACACTGCGTCACCCCCCTTCTCCGCAGGAGCTGAGACGTGCAGCTCGCTCCTCTCTTCCTGGTAACAAGAAGAAAAAAAAATGTCCCAAAAGGTGAAGCGGTCCTAAAACCTTGCAAAGTCAGCCTGCACGCTGGCTCTGACCGCTCTT